TGAAGTTGACTATTTAAATCAAATTTGGAAATTATGGAGGGAATTGACCCCTTTAGATCCGTTCGCATGACACAGTTTATTTAGAATGGCCATTAACATTCTAAAAACAAAATCAACAATCTGATAGACTACGGTATGAAAATTGATAGATAGGTAATAATAACAATGTTTTTATTGTCAATTATGACACCCCATTGCGAGCTGTAAAATCGAGTTGAATAACAAACCATTGATAATGTATTTGTGACATTGATAATTGCATTCTTTCAAAAAGAAACTTATACCATAAAACCCTTCTAACCTTTACCATGTAAGTATCATACTAGAATATTAAAGATATGCATAATTACCTGTCATAATTTTAGACAATATATCCAATTTCAATTCGGAAAAGTTTTCCATCACCGCCCTGTCCATAGTTTTATTTCTGTATGTTTTTATTTCCATATTCAGGTTTTTGGTATCCAACTTAGCAACCAGCGGAACATCTTCGTTACCAGTAAGGGGCATATCAACAGCCGTTTCAGGATTTTCATGTATAACTGATCCATATCCAAGTCCAATACAAAATATTAATGACAGCATCATCATGATCATGAATATCACTGTAGAATTACTCAACAGTTATGTAATTATATACTGTATATTAACAGATAAGTCAGAATATACAAATTCACAACATAACTAGAACTATTTGTCATGGAACATTTTTTCGCAGAACATTTTAACGAGAAATGTATTTAAAATATACATGTTTTTTTTATTTAGAGACTCGTTTTATTTCTGCACTGTTCTACAGTAAGTACACTACAGGTTAAAACTTATTTTGGCAATAACAACAATGTATCATAATAAAGATAATCATTTTCTATTGAAATCATTACCATGACCAACATAAAAATATATTAGCCCGTCAGATAACCCTACCCTTCTCATCTTCCTCTGGTTAAATGGATATCGCTTGTATTATCAAATCTTCGTACAAAGTAAATTACAAACGCCCTGTATTTTTACTTTAAAATATTTCCTGAACCCATTTTCAATGCAAAGTACTAATCATTGTGGTTTCTCAAACTAACACGTTCATCTATAGAACGTATAAAATTCGGCAATAAGTTCAAAAACATCCAAATTCTTCAGACGGCATTATCTTAGGAAAAAACAAACTATATTGATCAGCGTAAACAGCAATTACATGTACCATACTGTCAATGAAACTTACACTAAAAATTTGGTGACTCCGATGTGTTTTTCGGTATTAATCATCACCAGGAACGCTCAAGATCAGTCTTATCAGCCGATTTTCCCTGGACGTCATTACTGACATGCATATATGTATCTCAGTTTTATGTATTTAGCCGTTACTGAGTTGAAACATGTAAAATATTCAAATTCGTTTACCAGTTAATAATTCTTATATGATTTGCATATTAGAAAATACGTTTATATGATTGGTCGAGAGGGCTTCCGATAGAGGATCTTGGCGTTATTTATTTTTCGATAGACGACGCTGACCGAACTACCTTTTGTAACCAATGTAAACAAGATGGCAGCGACGTTAAAAATATTTATTTTCACTTTGCGTTCATCATTAAATTAAATAATAAACACAAAACATTCATTTGAATGATAATAATATATTTTTGCAGTTTATTTTTAATCAGATAGCAAATTTCATTACATTTTTTTTTACGTTAACCAAAAAATATATTCATGCGCCAGGCCAAAATGTGTGGAAATAAAATTCCTTATCTCTAATTTTAAAGAATTATAAGGATTAAACGCTTTTTTAAAGGAATTTATTTGTGTATACACTGAACCAAGTCTCTTACAAACATTTGTGAAAGAATTGGTCGGGTTTATACACCAATAAATTCCTTAAAAAAGGCGCTTAATCCTTTAAGAAGTAAATTTCACTCATTCATTATTATAAGTACACGAGCGTGACTACATTGTATGCCTTTCGTCATTTTTGTTTTAAATATATCTCAAACGTTTGTTAAAATTATTGAATTGACAGATGTTTTAGTGTTAAAGTTCACCGAAGAGATATTATTTGTCATTATGTTCATGTGATGCAGTAAAATTTACACTTTATGATGGTGTCTAAAGATTTGAGACTGCACACATGTTACTAGTGTGTTGAAACACAGACACATAAGATCGGTCGAGCAACTCTTGATGGTGACCGTACCTTGTGTAGTGTTGATTTCAGTCTTTCTTCCTCATAACTCTTTTGAGGCAGTTCTTATTTGTTAAGAGAAAACATTTGCTCATGCCGTTCATATGGTGCGTAACGTATTAATTGAGATATGTAACCGCTATATGATGGAACGGAGAATTTGTAGCTTCTGATAAAACTAGAAGTTTACATTTGAAAAATAGTTATCATCACGTTTGTCATAGATTCTAGTTTGAAGACTACCCTTTGTGTTAATAATGACGAACATGAGATAATGTTAGTTTTGCAGTAACTACAAGAAGTTTGAGGCCGCACAGTTATATTAGTAAAGCATGTATGGATGGATGTCATGTAAACAGCTGTAAAATGTTGGTAGATAGATTTTGGACACTTTTTTATTTTTTAAACTTATAAAAATCGACAGGTCTTATCATAAATAGGTGATTACCTATGTTAAGCTCTTGTCACAGATATATTGCATCTTTAAATCAATAAAAACACAACATATGTATTATTAATCTGTCATGCGTGAGCTACAGTATATATAGTTCGTTAATTGTTACCCCCCTGATTTGAAGATTATATTACATTGTTAAAATGTACAAAGAGTGTCCTTTTTCATTTGTTAGTTTGATATCTTCCTGATTGTAACTGATTGGCGTATATATTAAGGGTGTTATTTTAAGTTTATGAACAAAGACAGAACCAGTTTGATCATACAAAGTTACATATCAAAACACTGTATTAAATATAATCAAAATATTTTACAATGTAGATGGCTTTCGTTAAAAAAGAATCCTATGATTTTAATGTTTTTAGCAATGAATCTCAAATTTACATTACAGCTTTGAATTACAGTTAATACGTAAAGTTTCTTAATAAGATCAAAAGGAATTTGAAAAATAATGCATTCTTGACATACCATGTAAACGCATTATCAAGGTATTATATATATGGATCATGTATGTGCATTGATTATGCTAACTGATAGACGTACGTTTTTAATAAAAAAACAATCAAAACACAAAGATTTCTCACAAGAAACTAAAGATATAAAGTGTACTTTTAAAATTATCCGTGTTAAACTTATTTCAGTGGTCACGACACGCGATGCCACATGTATACGAACTAACTTTACTTGCAATTTTATTTAAACTCCTGATTACAACGAAGTGGTATTGGTAAGAACACTGATTTCACATAAAATTTAAATGGTGTAACCAGAACATTCAGTAGAAATTGATATGCAACATGAAAAGGGCATTAAAGGAAAAACGATTCACCTAAAGTCCTGATTGAAATTCTGATTCCCTTTTCATGTTTTTCATATATTAATCAAATTTATATGATTTGAGAGCACTAAGCCGACGATCCCTATAATCATTTATAATGAAATACTTTAAATACAATTATTAAAAAAAAAAAAAATGATTATAACAGCATTAATTTTTCCAAATATAGTATAAAAAAAGACTTTTATATGTACAATCTACGCATTTGTTTCACAATTTATGTATTGATTGTACTGTGTTACAACGGAAGTATGAATGTTACATATTACCTTGAGATGTTAAGATGTAGATATACAAGTTTTAATAACAGACGAAACGACCAATATTTTACGAAAACAGTATGATTGTCTTTAGGTCAATTATTCCGGATGGGAGTTGAAACCTTAATTTTAGTTCAATTCAGCTCAAAGTGTACAATATCAATAACTTACACGTACACACTGACTCAGTGATTTATAGGGGGATGGTACCAACGTTGTATTGTATGAGTGTTCATCCTGTTTTAATTTAAAAAGCGTTTCATACTAGTTTCCGAGCGAAAAAGTTTTTTTTTTAAAGAGCTCTCATTTATTTTTATGTGTGGATTGCAGTCATTTTTACTCATAATTCTGTTGGAGCAGTTCTTATTTATCAGTAGCATACCTCTGTCCATGCAGTTCATATAGTACGTATTAATTGAGATATGTAACCGCGGTATGATGGGACAGAGGATATGTAGCTGCTGATAAAACGGGAACTTTACATTTGGAAAGTTGTAATCATCACGTTTGTCACAGATTTTAGTTGAAAATCTCCTCTTTGAGTTAATAACGACGAAAATGAGGCATTGACGTTTTGCAGTAACTACAAGTAGTTTGAGGCCTCAAAGTTATATAAGTAAAGCACATATGAATGGATGTCCTGTAACCAGCTGTAACATGTTGGTAGATAGATTTTGAACACTTTTTTTACACTTATAAAAACCGACAGGTCTTATTCATAAATATGTGTGTTGTATCTTTTGAAAAAGTACGGTGGAATATATTGTTATTAGTGGAAAGAGCAAGATGAGCTTAACAATTACTGAATTTGAGGATAAACATAATACAAGTGGTTTTAAAAAGTTTTTTTTTACAATATAAGAATTGCATTGTCTATGTCAATTGCTTCCTTCAGAAATATTCAAATGATGTGGACCTTCATATGAATTGTGTATAGCATGAAAAGCATACAAGTAAATAAATGAAACGCAATACTCTTTATAACATGTTTAAAACATGTATAGTGTTCAAAAATATTAACTAGGTTAACTTTAAGTTATGCTGATTACCTTTGTTTAGCTTTTGTCATAACATGCATAAATACATTGAAATTTCAATTTAAAAACAATAACAGTATTATTTATATGTCATGCGTGAGCGAAAGCATATATTGTTCGTTAATTGTTACCCCCTGATTTGAAGATTATATTACATTGTGAAAATGAACAAAGAGTGCCTTTTTTATTTGTGAGTCTGATATCTTCCTGATTGTAACTGATTGGCGTATATATTTAGAGTGTTATGTTAAGTTTATGAACAAAGACAGAACTTGTTTGATCATACAAAGTTACATATCAAAACATTGAATTTCATTATTAACAAGAGAATTTTACGGTTTATCAAGGTAGGAGGCTTTCGTAAAAAAATACTATAATTTTAATATTTTAGCACATAGCATAAATTTTACATCATAGCTGTAAATTAAAGTTAATACAATAAGGTTCTTAATAAGGTGAAAAGGAATTTGAAGAATAATAATCCGTTCTTGACAAATCTTGTAGACGCATTATCAAGGTATTATATATATGTGATCATGTATTTGCATTGATTAAGTTATCTTATAGATGCACGTTTTTAATATAAAACACGAAAAATACTCACAAGAAGCTAAAGATTTAAAGTGTACTTTTAAATTTCACCGTGTAAAGCTTATTTCAGTGGTCACGACAATAAATTTCACCGTGTAAACTTTTTTCAGGGGTCACGACACTATATTTTACCGTTCAAAACTTATTTCAGTGGTCATGGCACTAAATTTTACCGTGTAAAACTTATTTCAGTGGTCACGACACATGATGACACATGTATACGAACAAACTTTTACTTGCAATTTTATTTAAACTCTTGATTATTCCTTTAGTAGCTTCTTCCTCTCTGTGACAGAAAGAGTCAAAAGGTGAAACACATGACGACACAATGTAAAAAGTAAAATGACAAACACATCATACGAATGGAAAACATCTGTCATATTTCTGACCTTTTACAGACATTTCCGTATGTAGAAAATGGTGGATTAAACCTGGTTGTAAAGCTAGCAAAACCTCTCGCTTGTACGACAGTCGCATAAAATTTCATTATATTGACAACAATGTGTAAGCAAAACAAACAGACAAAATAGGGAAACATTTCACAGATTTGGGTACAGCAGTCAGTAATGTTAATAATTTTAATTACTATAAAAACAAACAACTATTCTACAAAGAAAAACAAAATGGCATATAGACGGTCTATAGACAAAGCACATAAGCAAACCTGAAAGACAAGAATATAAAAAGATGACCATAGCACATTACTACAATGGCGGGATATATAAATACCGAGATATAAAAGGGATATCACCAAAACTAAATAGTAAAGGTGCACCGTTCCAGCATCGCCTGCATACGGAGTATACATCTCCCAGTTGATACGATATTCCAGGGCTTGTAGTTCCTATCATGATTTCCTTGATAGAGGGTTGCTGCTCACAAGTAAGCTATTAAAACAAGAGTTCCAAGTGGTTAAGCTGAAATCATTCCTTTCTAAGTTTTACGGACGCCATCACGAGTTGGTTGACTGTTGAATATCCGTTTCACAGATAATAGCGGATATGTTCCTAATGTCGTAACTACAATCCCGTCCCCTTTTCCCGAATGTGACCCACCGAATTAGACTTATAACCGGGTTTCTACTAACATGAGCAGCACGACGGGTGCTACATGTGCTTACCCTTCCGGAACACCTGAGATCATCCCAAGGTTTTGATGGGGTTCGTGTTGCTCAGTCTTTAGTTTTCTATGGTTTGTTTTGTGTACTATTGTTTTCTGTTGGTCTTTTTCTTTTTTAGCCATGGCGTTGTCAGTTTATTTTCGACTTATGAGTTTGAATGTCCATCTGGTATCTTTCGCTTCTTTTGTAGAAATATGCAAGGACAAATAAAAAGAACACTATACATGTAACATGTAATTAAGATGATAAGAACCTAGAATTTATACTTCAAGACCATCATGATATATTTTTGAAGTTGATACAGAATATTTATTGGTATTTTCCGATGAACTTTTTCAGAAAAATTTCGAGACGTTCTTTTACGTAACCCTGCTTCATCAACATTCTGCTCAGACACTGATGACGCTTTATGAAGTCTGAGTATATAATTTATATAAATACAAATGAATACTTGAAAAATTAAATTCATCAAGATAACGTTTTTCTATTTGTTTTCAGAAACCATGGCGTTTCAACTGATAGACGTGACAGTTCTCATGGCAATATTGGTAACCCTTCAAGGTGTCTGCTACAGTAAAACTTCAGTGACATGTATGTTTCATTTTTATTATAAAAAGTCAACTGTTTTGGATATAGATTTTCAAGCAGCATTTAAATACATCTATCACGACAAATGAAATTTATATTTGCTGCGCACATACACGTTTAGCTAGTCGTCAATGATTCGTTTCAAATTGTTCTTCTTTATATTTCTATTGTTGAAGTGGATTGTGAAAGTACATTGTTGTTCATGTGCTTATGTGCCTCAATGCAGACAGCTCATTTAATAAGCTTGCATAAACCAAATACTTAGAATATTTCATTCATGTATATTTAAGAGTTGAGAAAAAAACTAGTAGTCGAAACGTGCATCTGATGATGAGATTTGTTATCATTGCCACACAATTGACACATAGATGTTCCAGTTTAAATAAGATAGCGGGTTTCGTTTTTCTTTTCATTGATGTTTTGTTTTTAAATGTGAGGTGTGTATTGTATCGGTTTATCTTCTTTTCGCTCTTCCTATGGTATATGTCGCCTATTTTTGTTAACCATCTTTAAGCTTTTTTAGTTAGACTTATTGGCAATTAAGAGATTAACACAATGTGCAAGCTCACATTTTGTTCATTTTGGGGAAACTTGAAGATTGTGGCAGATATTTGAATGCATTAAAATAAAGAGTAATTTACATTGTGCTTGTTTTCGAGAATCTAACAATTTCGAAGATGACATATTTTATAGATACCTGCCTTTTTGGATGATCGTATGTTATCCACTATATGTTTTTGGATTTTTTTATTCGTTGTATAGCTTTTTGACGTGACCAATCATCTTTTTTTTTTAATAGAGCGAGACTACATTCCGGGGAATTACATTCCCCAGCCAAACAGAACTGACCTTTATTTAAAAAAAAAAGTCGATAGCAATTAAATCGCAGCTGGAAAGCAAGCATTTGAATATTACAAATTATAAAATTGGAAGTTTAGACTTCATATTCAGAGATTGCAAGGCTGGTGTTATATAAAAATGGAAAATATCTTCTCTCCTCATGCTATTGTCGTAAGAAATTCAAGTTATGACCAACTTTTCTGCATTTCCCTGTAAGTTATGATATTAAATAGACAAGACAGACATTTTGTAACCCTAATTTCAAGTTCAATAAAAAAAAAATGTATCATCATTCAATAAAGAATTGTTCATCAAAAGAAAAGACATCACATTTCTATTGGAACAAAAGAATAATGACAGTGTTTGCTTTACTTAATGCACATTGGGTAGCCCGTATCTGTCTCATACAACTAAAGAAAACAACCAGTAAGTACAACTGTTGACGTATGTCCATCCAAGGTAACACATTTGATGTTAATAAAGGCAAGTATCTTGACAAGTACAACGGGTATTACAGTTAATTGGGTTATGCTATAGAGTTAAGAGAACGCTGTGATTTTTATGTAACCTGACATAACTACAAAAGTATCAATTATTCACACTTGAATTACATATTCATAAGTCGTACAGCATTTTAAATTAGTGTGATCAAAATTCATGCTAAATGTCGATCAGGCTGTCTGTTCTTCTCTATTACAAACTGATTGATTGAATGATTGTTAGTTGCTTTACATCTATTATATTACAAAATGATGACAAATTATTAGATACACGAGCCTTGGGTGAAATAATTCTAATATAAACGAACCTCTGTATGCTTTGCAACATTACAACATCTCTTTCTCTTTCGTTTATGCCTAAAATGTGCTTAATACTGGTATTTTTTTTTTGTGTTAGATTCTTTTCCAAATGATGCATGTGATGCACCGACGTATGTTGTTGATAAAGACACCAAAGCTTTCATGAAGTTTGAAGGGGATTTAAGCCACCACGATTGTAGACAAATGTCGTTCACAACTCCCAAATCAGTTTTTTACAGATATCGCATGTCCGTAAGACAACTGCATTTAGACAGTCCTAAATGTCAAAGTATGCTTCAGTACAACATATTTGTCACCCATTACAGTTATGATATAAACAACTTTGAATTTAATGGCGAGGTAATTTGAAGCACAGTAATATTTTGCCTAACACTTTGAACACTTTGGATCTTTTGGTTATCGATTTTAGTGTTTGACACTCTTAACATGTAAAGTAAACTTTTAAACCCGGTCAATTAAACCGTAGTTGTGATATTTATCATGTGCACAAAATTGAAGTTCTGTTATTACTGGAATGCACATAAAATAATGACTTAAAGTGTTTCACTTCTCTCACGAACTTTTGAGAACAATTTACAATTACATTGCATGATGTTGAACTGATTTGGAAAATTATGTAAGCGAATTCTTGATATTGATAACACTGTATATGCATTATTGTAGACCGTCAATTAAAAACACACTACAACAAAGGAAGCAATACAAATCATAAGTCTAATTGAAACAGCAAACATCGCGGTCAAAAAGTGAAGAACGACGAAAGAATAGACAACAAAAAAAAAAACATTACACCACAAAAGATTGAGCAACATAAACCCATAAGCCATATTCAATGATTTTAGAATAGCAAATAGCGAAATTAAGTAATGATTAACAATCTGTAACAGCTACATCACCCGTCTATTTAGATAGAGCTGATGATAAATTTAATATATTTCCATGTAACATTCAAACTCTCTCAGTCAATCTGATCTATGATGTCCTGTTTATGTCTTCTGTTTTTTTTTAAGAAAAGGTATGGACTTAGAAACCTTTTTTTTTAGATAATCTTGTAAAACACTCTATCCAAAAATAAATCGTTTTTTTAGAACATACAGGTACATGTAAAATACATTTAGTACAAACGGGATTTTATAAGTGACATGTTGGTTTAAGAATCTTTTTAAATGTGCAGTTATTGCTATTCAATTATACTTTTTTATTCATATTAAGTATATTTTATTTCTAAGTCAATTTTATTAATTAGTAATTGGATGCAATACTAATTAATCAATTTCTCTAATTCCCAACAGATTTATACTTTTCCCGAATTTTTTTTTTCAAAATCAACGTGTATGTTGATTGATCTCATTTCTTAATTGGTTAAATTACAATTATCACGTCAAATGTTCTTGATGTTCTCTAACGTTCTGAAAATTTTTACCATGCATCATGACGTCACATATACACACATGATTTTCCAGATCAGTGAAATATTTTGTCTGCATATCGTTTAAAAGTCATTCCACCACCAAATCTCGTGCAATACGATATTTTCCACTCTCGATAGTTACATTTTATATATTCAAAAATATCGGTACAAGCCTCGCGTTTTAAATTCATAATGTCACTGTTTTAGTGGGAAATTGTCGTATCACTTTATGTAGATATAGAATTTATATATATGGTATTCGAGTTAAGTTACATTCACTTTTTAGACTGAAACTTTGGAACCACATATATAACGTTGAAACTTATATCTTATAGGGGGTCACTAAAACAGCTAAAACCACACAGGGTCAACTTTGTTAAAGATATTTACAACCTAGTTTGAGCCACTTTACACAATTCCGTAACCTTCAACTTTTCAACAAATCATTTCATTTGAATCCTGTTTATATGAAGCCACGTCTATTCATATAATGGTTCTTTCCCCGTTTAAAAGAACACTGGTAACAGTATACAGTGTTTTAAAAGAATTACATTAAATTTAGTTGTGTTCAACTGATGTTTTTGAACTTTGTAATAATGATAACCTAAAATTGTTCATGTTTGATAATATTTACAAATTGTATTTTGAACACTTTTCTGATTACTTTAAGATTAAAGGTAAAGGTTGCGATAGGGATTCGTACCCTTACCTCTTTCTTTCGAATTGGATATACTATGTCGATTATGTTTCCTTCGAAGTAGAGAAAAATGATAAACAAAATGATGGATACAACAAACAGATCGAAAGACCACATGTGGACTTTATACCTGACAAACTAAATGATACTTTTACGTTTGCAATTGAAACAAGAGTGGAATACCATTGTAAGTATATTCATATATACTTTAAGCTTTTGTATATAACCTACAAATCACTATGAATATGCAAATTCATTTTTTTTCGTTTGTCATGTGCTCAGCCGATTTTGTTTAACACACATCAAGAAAACAATTTGAATGCTGTACTTTTTCAGTTTACAATTACAATTACAACTAGATTTGCCATTGCGAGCAATTGCGGATGGCATCCCTTCCATTGCCACGGGAACAGCAGTCATTTTGGAAATTCTAAAGTCAAATGACACGTCTATACATGCCAGTTAACATTTCTGTGAAGTTTCATTAAGTTTAGAACATTTTGACTATTTAACTGTTTCCATGGTAACGGCCATCATTTTGGAAATTCCAAAGTTTAATAGAACATCAGCATATGCCAATCAATATTTGTTTGAAGTTTCATTTACTTTGCAGCATTTTTGGGGCCATTTTTGCTGTTTCCATGGTAACAGTGGTCCTTTTGGGCCATTTCAATGTCTCTTGCTCAACTTCACATAGTGGTTCACATTATGGTATAGTTCCATCAACATTGGTCCATTCAATTCCGAGAACTACAAAAAAAAATTGTAGCGTGGACAAAATGTGTGGAAGAATAAAAAATAGAAAACAGAAACGAAGAATGACAATTTGTCACCCCAACTCCGTTGAGGGTGTCATAAAATACGGTCAGATGTCTAGTTAGTGTCTTCATTTTTTTTAATTACTAGTTATGTAAAATAAAAATGAAATGTTTTTTTTACTAATTTGACTTTTTTTTTCAAAAAGACGATGTTATTGCTGGTGTATCAGGTGGAGTTGCTGGATTTTTAGTCATATGTGGATTGATTATTTATTGGTGCATATGTTGTCGTCAGAGAAAACGACGAAGAGGTAGATACTGTTGCGCATGTCTAACACACAAACCAGGAAACATTAGTAAGTCTTTGACTTTTTTTATCCAATACAGGGTGAATATAGACACCGCATAGCAATGTGATGAGATAGTTTTCTGAAAATGTCCCTCATTTTATACATATTCCAGCTTATGAAATAAACCTTGTCACACACGTTGTTGCTGGTTTCTTACTTTATCATACATTGTCAGTCATAATACTGTGTGAGTAAATCAATAAAAATATGTGTATGCACTTATTTGACCACAGTTTGTAAATAAACTGAAGACAAAGTGTATAGATATTTTAAAGTTTATTTGCATTTTTTTTTTTTTTTTTTAATTATATAAGCTTTACGTAAAATTGTACGAAATTAGCACAGATCTGATTCAATGTTTGATAATACATTAATACTTAATTTCATATATACATGTACAATGTTTGTGTATATAGATGCAGGAGGTCTTTCGACAGAGTGTTCCGTAAATGAACTATTGTTATGTTCCTGTATCTTGTGTAGACCTAAATTCCAGAAAGAAAGTGTACAGGGATCAGATTCACTTGACAAGGGTATGTTTTTTTTATATAGTTAGGCTGTATTTGTTTTCATTTAAATGATATACACATCTGAGCTCCTATATCATATATATCAAAGTTGCAATTTTCGTAATTGACATATTTGTCAACTAAAGTTAAATTGAAATGAAAATATATGCATTAGACTTGTTCTTTTATTGTAAAAACGTTATTATGACTAAACTGATAAGAGGGTCTAGTCACTCTGCAGCTGTTCAATAACGACAATAATTCCGACCTCAAGCCAGCTAATCCAGTCGATCTTGTTATCTATTAGTGTACCATGATTGCCTATTAGACCGGCTAAATACAAAAATACAAAGTTGTAACAACAACAGACCAACAGCGGCCTTCTACAATGAACATCATCAGCTATGAACGGTACCAGGATAACAACAAGTGAATCATTAAAAAGGAGAAAACCAATGGCGTGATGAAAATTAACAACATATGAAAATAAATTGTGACAGATAACAAACAACGATAGCCACTGGATTACAAATTCTTTGTTTGGGACAGCCATTTAATCATTCTAAAACCTGTTAATGTGATGTAACAATGATATTCAAGATAAGATTACACTGTATAAATATGCTGGAAAAGGTATGACGCATCAGATAGATAATGAGCAACAGATAAAAAAAAAATACAAAAAAATACAAAAAACACAAATAATTGTGTTCTACATTTTTAAGTTCCTTGTGTTTAATTGAAAGGTAATAAGAAATTCAGTCATTACTATCAGATTTTAAACATGTTTGAGTTTTTATTAATTGTGACTGCATTGGGCATGTCGAATGATAATGCACAAGAACCGTATGCTTATTATTTTCCACTATGCTGATTTAACGTATTAAACAAAAGTTTACAGTCTTCTGGTTTCTGTTCGGGTACTTTTGGAATGAATCAGAAGTGTAGAACCAAAGAGCACAAAGAAAGAATAGCATATTAAACACACAACGTAAACAGAGTAGAAATGAGCTAATACAAAGTATTTATTCATGTGTCTGTAACAGGTTATAATTCTATTATATCTTATAAATAATATCAACTACTTCTTATTTTGTTTATAGTTTCTATTGAACCTGCTGACAGCAAAACTGATATGTATAAGGAAGCGGAATCTGTAAATGGTCTTACAGAAGAAAACACAGCTCCACTTATTCAGTGTGAATAAGATGGCGATAGACATATCTTGTCCGATTGCAAATATCATTGAAACTGTTATACCTGAATAACAGCAAATAAACAATGTGTATTTTTATTTGTCTTGTTTGATCAGCATAATTGTCATTACATTTTTAAGATACATTTTATTCGCAAGAGCTTCAAAGTGCATATCACAGGAATTGATATCTTATTATGGTTGAATATTTACTTTTCTTATTATTTCAACAACGGGAAGAAATGTAAATGATGAAATCATTTCATAAAATTTCGCTGTTAATAAAGTCATTTATTAAACAATATATCTGAATTTAAAAACTATTTTCCCATAACTTAACCCAATACAATAGTACCAGGTTAATTAAAAACAACAATAACCAGTGGTAGTCTATCGTCCAGTCCGATCATATTTTATTCATCTGCTTAAAAAACTATAACTTCAGTTTATGTTCAGGCTAGTTAGGTTGCCATTATTAATAGATTATTACGTTTAGTTCAGTGTTTCCTATTTATTATTTAATGTTGTTCTGTTAAGTTATTTGATCTTGTAAATAAACATAAAGATTTTTTTAAATTGTATTGACTTTATATATATAAAAAAAAGAAGTTAAACTGAAATCGAAAGAAACGAAATTTCAGAAGATTGTGGTAATTTTCATATTGGTTTTTTATTACAGACTATTTAATTCAAGGAATACATCTATTTCCTTTAGATCAATTTATACAACGACAAGTTAAAAGCAACAGTAATTAATCGATATTTATATTTTATGATCAAAACATGTCTCAAATCTAGGTAGACCACAAAAACTATGAGAAACGTATGAACTTCAGATGAAACTTGATCGAGTGTGTCGACAGGGTAAGATTCGCATGCTATGCATCCATCAACCACCGTTCAAACCCAAACTAGGTCAAACTATCCCAATAAAAAAGGACACAATCTGCAAACTTACGTATCAGACAACTATTCTGATATGTAAAGGTGATAAAAGCTCACGAAACTTGTCCTTAGTGAGTTTAGACACAAGCATATAATATCGGTCAACCAATTCGTCATGGTGCCTGTAAACCTAATCAGTGTCGATTCCAGCTGTTCTTCTTCATACCTCTGTTGGAGCAACTTTTGTGTCAGAAACACTTAAGCTTATGTTAATGCAATTAGTATAACGCTACGTTATAACTGAAATATGTTAACGACGTTAAACGCGAAAGATCGTATATTATTGCATGTTGAGATGTTTAAATCCGATACAACGATTAAGAAGACAAATCAAGGTATGAAACAAAATCTGAAGGCATCGCATGAACTCCAAAACAAAACAACTATCTGCATTCACAGATATACAGGAAAAACCTTGGTGACGAAAATGATAAGATATGTCAACTGAACAGGAACACTGAACGTGTTAAGAATTTATAGGTTATTCACATTTTTATCATAGTCTAATGGTATAAAATATTTACAACTTTTCCAACTTAGGGTCTCTTTTAACGTATTTGCATTTCCTCGCTTTATCTCGACATCCATGTCCTTTGCTTATTGTAGTTTTAATGTATTTGCTTCCCTTTCATTTTTGTATATGTCCTGTGTAGTTTTTAAAATATGTCTGGCACTTCAAGTATTCTAAGTTTTAGTACCTTTTCAGTAGTCCTTGTTTTGTATCACGTATTTCATGGTAATCCTATTGGTCTGAGTTTTAAACAAGATTGAACAGTATTATCAGGTGACTCAAAACTTTGTTTCACTGTTTGTTTCATTTATTTCACTACGGCCATCGTCAGGTTCTTTATTATATTAAGATCAATTTCTAGAAAGTCAAGAATTTTACTAACATATTAAGTATGTTTGACGTGTCTATTTTTCTCTTCTTCTGCTTCCGATCATAATACACCAAACATGATGATATGATATGACTTCATTTTCAAGTTTCCTAACTTAAGCCGTGCTTTTGGCACAAAACCAACGCAAGTGTGCAGATTCTAAATGGTCCTTGTAATAGTTTCAAACATAGATATAGGTTGCATAAATAAAATGTACAGGACTCAAACTGTGCTGTTTTGTCATCTATCACTATGAATACCTCCTGGTATCACTTACAAGACCAATCTTATTCCATCTTTACCTGTTTCCCTTGTTTCGAATTCGAATGAATAAATTTAAAAATGATGCGATTCTGTTTTATTATTTCTATGAATGTTTCTAGAAATAAAAATAACAAATTTGTTTACACTCACTTTTAAACAATCAAGTTCAAACGTATTATCTTGTTGAGCAATGTTTACAATGCGTGTGACACTGAATTGTATGCATGCAAAAGCAGGAGACACTTTCTTTGACGATGCAACCAGTTTTGCTCCTCCTTGAGTTTATGCCAGTCCCTCAAATTTTGTTTGTTACCTTAATTAATTTTGTAAAGGTCGAGAAGGGAGGGGAAATGTCTAACCTATACCCATAGAATAATTTACTAAAATGTAGTTTAACCGTGCATTAATAATATATAAGTATAGTAATAACAGAACATTCATAAATTAAATAACACATATCTGAGAGGGTGATAGAGCAGACTGTTACCCCTTGAAAAGACATTGTCGACCTTGGGTTTGCCTCAGTTGACAATGTTTTCTCGGGATAACAATCTGCTCTATCACCCTCCCAGCTATGTGTTATTTATATAATATTGCATATACTTGTCTTCTTATTTATCATACTTATCTTCTTAGACTTTTTGCACCTCTTATCAATGAACGAATCATTGTGATCAACATTGCCTTGGGTATTAAATGAATATTGAAAATGACTTCCTTTTAGTGACTGTTACCTGTATCAACGATATTTTTAACTTTCAATAAACAAACTATACGCGTAATATTTAATATCATTAGCTTATTCGTTATCTTGGATTTACATTTCGACATATTGATTTTGTACAGGGAAACATTTCAACATTACATGTATACTAAAGATACAGGCAAAAGTAGCGAATTATATTTTTAATACAATTAACAAGGAAATGCGGCTTTATCAATTTCTCATTAGTTGTTTTAATTGTCAGAATAATTCTTTTTCATCAAAGTTGTAAGAAACTGATAGATATTGATTATATGTAAAAAGTTATAGAGGTAAATATAAAATATACAAGACGGTAGAATGCGAGTCTAAGTTATCTCGTGTGAAATTCTTCCATGGTTTTACCTCAATCACATTTACTTATACCAATTAACTTATTTGACACGATTTGAATATACAACTGATCGTCCATCTCTAATTCTTCAAGACTTCACACAACATTACATGACTGTTTTTGTATCTCATAATCTCTATATCATATATTAGTCATTTCTTATTTTCGAAAATCATAAGAATACGTTAAACTTTTCGAATGCCTCATAAAACAGCTACTACGGCAATAAATAGAAGCTTTTGTGTTTTGCAATTTTGAAGTTTCCATACCGTTTATTAGATAAACCAAAATACTTTGTCAAGGTAGCGCTTGTTATTTAAAAAAAATAAAACCCGTAGCCAATTTGGATTTAAAGGACAATATTAATTCCTTATTCGACTTAATATTTTTTTTTAAATATATGAAATCCCAAACGTTGACTGGGGTAGAAGTTGTGTCATCCTTAGGTCTTCTTCCAACCGGTATAAAAAAACTCGCAAAAGTGCGGCGTCGATTTGGCTATGTAGGATGTATAAATTCGCAGCCACGTCCGGTCATGAGGAGAAAGTTTAGTCCTGTTCCTCTTGAAATTAGGTTGTCAAAAACGCTGAACGGTAGGAACCCTTGCAACAACTTTTTGAGGGGATCGTAGGAACTATTGTTAGTCCTTATTAATGTCCTTATCAAATATATTCTATTTATTCTAGTGAAATTTCACATTTTCCACTCTATATCCCGTTTAACCACTCTATTACAGGACATGTCTGCTATATTTGCCACTGGACGTAATACTTACAACAACCATACAATCAATCAATCAATCAATCAATCACATAATTGAACATTTATTTGAATTCAATTATTCCACAAGTGAAATGATTGAATATAAGGGCATGTGTAAATCATCAGCACTGTAAGAATACTAATTTAAAAAGCTGATACTGCTGTAACTAAATTGAGAAATATAATCTGCGAATCAAAAACACATTACCCAAAAGACTGGTCAAGACATTCTTTTGTTAATTTTTCTCATTTAAATGTGACAATTCACATTTCAAAGTTGACATTATTCAGCTCTAAGCTAATATTTTCCAGTTCAAAGCCAATATTTCTCACTTCTAAGTTAGAACTAAAATGTCAAGTATTCAAGAAATGTCTATTAAATTGAAATGAACAATTTAAAACTAGAATGTCCCTACCAGTCTTTTATACGTTTCACTGGTGGGTTTTGTTTAGTCTTTATTGATTTGGGGTAATGCGTTATGTGCACATGAAATATAAGTTGGTTAAAACAAATTGAAAGTAGGCATTGATTATGAAAAGATAAATGCAGTGGTTTGATTTACATTCATTGTGTTTTTCCATTTAATTAGAATATGTTTGATTATTATATAGTGTAACTTTATTAATACAATAAGGAACAGTACATTTGACCACAGGCAAAACAATTTCCACCCAACTATTGAAAGAACAAATCAACACATTCACTGTATCTAACAACACATTACACAAAAAAACACAGTTCTTGCCTTGATATGACGAATACATATAATAGATAAAACAACAATAAAGTTCGTATCAAGACAGGACACAAATATCGAGAGCTTAGTGGTCGCAACAACAAGAACCAAAAATAAACGATAACCTGTACCAGTACCTAATTTACAAAACTTTTGATTTTTCGAAACTCTAAGGATTTTCTACCAAAGGAGTAGAAATCTCAAACTTAATTTGGAAAACTTTTCGTATTTTTTGGTCCTTAATGCTCACCAGCTTGACACTTTTTTTGACCTGTTTAACTGTGTTGAATCGATCATCAGGAACGGGGACCAAGTTATTTGCTCCATTGAAACGCATTGAAAATCATAGTAAATAAAAAGGGTGCTTTTCAATAAGTAATTTTGATAGTCACCTTGGGTAAAATTCCAACTATTTTAGTACATCTAGTTTTGCATTACAACAGAGTCTGACGAATGGTTTAAATTATATACTCGACACAAAGATGTTCATTGATAGTGGTGTTGTGTTTTTTTCGTTTATTTTTGATTTTTTTTAAAATCAAAAAAGTGGACAGAAGTATTTGACCAATTCAATAAAAAAAACAGTGAAAATATACCAAACGGCAAGTATAATGCCTTTAAATAAAAGAGATTTTAAACACCAACCCGCCGTATCCCCCCATTCTCTTTTTAAAAATGGAAAATGTATGCTTAGCATAGAAATTTAATATTGTCAACATGCTTCTTATTTGATCGTCCTTTCTTAACACTTAGTCTTGCTGAATATAATTTTGAACTGTCTGAACCTAGCCAACGTCAATTGCGTTTTTTTTCATGTCTCATGAACACATTTAATAAATGGTGTTTTTCCATTCTATCATACGCCGTACATTTACAGCATGTTCAACCTG